TATATAGGGTGGGGGGGGGGGGTTCGAGAATATTAGTAAATGTTGATGTATAATTGTTGAAACTTAAACTTGACTATTATAATGTATTTGATTTCAACTTTTGTCTATTTTTTAAATGTTAGACCCAATAAAATTATGTTTTGTTTTTAAATTTTAGTATTATAAAGTTATGATATTATGATCATGTTTTTGAATATTATTCTATATTATTATATTATTATTATTATTATATTTATATTTCATTAATACTTAATAGGATTATGGTTGAATTATTGAAGTTGAACCAATATTTTGGTTAATAATTGGTCAAATTTTAAAAACATGATTTATAGCGCATGAACAAAGAGAAGCATTAGAGACAAGTTATTCCAATTATTCTCAAACAAATATTAACGTTGTATTATGCATTTCCAATTATTCTCAAACAGATATTAACGTTGTATTATGCATTTTATGCACAATAGATGTTATTTAATGTACTCAAGCAATAAATTAAGCTAACTTTATCTTTTGAGATTTTGCAAAAAATATTAGCGTGTGAACTTAGACTTTTTATGGTCAAAAAACAGACAGACTTTTTATTTTAAGTTTGGGTCAATTAATTAACACAACAAAAGAAGCGTTTTCTGTCGCATCTAAGTTTAGGTGATAGACATGAAACACTAGAAGGAGAAATATTATACCAATGCCATTCAAGTTTGGATATCATAATTGAGTGTAATTAGATTTTTGAAATCACACCAAAAAAAAAAAAAAAAAAAACCAAATAGTACATGCTTAGAAAGAGCCATTTAAAATTTGAACAAGAATCAAAATTATATATAAAGGTACCTAACCAATCAGGATGTAAGTCACAGGAATAAGGCCCCAATTATTTAGGGCCCAAAAATTTATTGTATTTTATTAATTTTAATTTTTAAATAAAAATATTGTAAAAGTGCATATAGAAGAAATTTATATTCTACTACAATTAGTATTACATTAATTATATAAAAAAATTATATTCTTTTTCAAATACATGCATTGCTACTAAAATATTATTTACAATATTATAACTGTTACAAAAATAATCTTTTAAAATTTATTTTAGTCAAATCTTATGTAAGATTACTTACGTCAAAGAATATATTAATTGAATCTATTATTTTATATATTAAGAGTGGAATACCTAATTATAAAATTTTGATAAACAATTTCATAATTGACAAGAAAAATAAAAAAATTAACAATTTTTTATGAAATTAAGATTTGAATATAAACTTTACCTCTTAAGCTTACAATTTCTAGATATGATCCTTAATTTTACCACTCAATCACATGTGCTATAGTACTGATCGTACTTCAAGGAGAAACACAGAAGAAAAAAAAGGAGATTTGGATATTATTTAGGGACATCGTCAAGAACTGAATGCAAAACACATCGTAGAAAATTGTATACGAGGGATTGAATGCTAGCTAGCTTCAGTTCAAAACAGGGGACTTTAAGAAACATAAGCCATAACATTAAAGTGTCCTCGATCTTTATTATAAGGGAAAATAAAAAAATAAAAAAAGAACAACGAACACACTGAGACTAAACGAAAATACAAAATAAAGAAAGTTATGACAGAAAATACAGGGGTAGAAACAAAGTATAAAACAAATTTCCTTGTGATTCACTTATTTATCGAGTAAGAGGATTTACAAACTATTAAACAGGTGATATGTGCAACCACAATAAATATAAGTAAAAGTAAAAGTAAAATATAAGACTAAACTCACTCTCATATTTCACCAAACAATTCATGTGTACAAGAAAAACAAAAGGTTAGGAGACATCATATGAATAACCCATAAAATTAGAATAAAAAAACACTTGGACGTCAACATATGTCCGTTAGTCATCAAAATACAAATTCACTCTTTCATAAATTCTCATTGTTTTTCATCAAAAAGTTAATTCATAGACTAAAATCAAATCACCCTAGCTAGAAAACAAAACACTCTAGCACATTTAGGATAAGTAAGGCATAAGAAATATAATAACTCTAACAAAGAAGAGGCACGAGCATGATTAAAAGTTTGAAGTTGCTTGATGGCAATGGTACCTGCGACTCTCATTATACAAGTACAAAAATGTGTTGGCCCATAAACGAAGTAGTTAGTGGGTTTTTTGAGTGAGAATACAATGGGTTTTGTGGTTGGCCTTAATTAACAACACCACCTTTACAACATTTGAGTAGCGCATGACCAAGGTTAATTATTCAAACTCGATAATCGTTACTTATTAGTTATTGAACCATATGTTTTGCTACCACCACGTACTCGTTTATTTCCTTGATTATCTTTTACGTGACACGTAACTAATTTTTCAATGAAAAAAAAAATAAAATGAAAGACGTACAAAGTTAAAATAAGAGCATATTCATTAAGGCTTCTCGCAGTCGAAGTCAGAAAACCGCAACAACTGTGGAACTAAAGTAAGAATAGAATGGAGGAATTGATATATAGTATTCCCCGCAAAGAAAAAGAAAACAAAAATAAGTGACACGTTACAGCGACAGTGATGCATGTAACGTTGAACACATTAACTGAACTGAGCATGCGATCGTCTCTTACTTCTTCTTGCCATTTTCGGTCGCGGCTTTCTTCGCTGACTCGTATGCCTCACCCACTTTGTGTTTAGTTGAGTCGAAAGATTCTTCTACTCTTTGCTCCGCTGCATGCATCGCTTCTCCAGCGTCCATCTTTGCATTTTGAGCTATTGTTTTCTCATCAGCGGATCGCAACCCGAAACCACTGCCACAATTAAAATTATTAAACTCTTCTAATTTTGTAAAATAAATAAATAATAAAAAGCACGAGAAAGAGAAAATGAATTACGAGGAGAGTTTGTCATAGGCCCACTGAGCAAAAGACTCGGACTTTTCGGCGGCAGCATGTGCCGCGGGTGCGGTGGCGTCCCTTACAGCAGTGGCCGCCGGTGTGGCGGCGTCCTTGGCCGCACTGCCGGCCTCCTCGGCGGCGTTGACAGCCGGTGTGGCGGCGTCCTTGACGGCATTGCCGGCGTTCTTGATGGCATTAACGGCCGGTGCGGCGGGGTCAGTCACCGACGCGGCGGGCTCTGGACCGTGGGCCCAGCACGTGGCGACGAAGACAGCGAGGCACAAGGCCAACACAAAAGCCTTCATGTTTTGGGTCTCCATCTTTATTTTTATTCTCGAATTTATTCTTGTACTCTTTTATTATTCTTGTTTCGACTTGGTGTATGATCCATTGGTCGAGGGTGTTTATATAGGGTGCATGTTCAGTACGAGGTGCTCCACGTGGCGCTCTAGGGTTCAAGGTGGAAACGGCCTCGTTGCTATTAATGTTGCGGGTCACGCGTAAATTCATCGCTGCAACAACGGGTTTTGCTCCACCTTATGTTGCCTCACTCCTCAACCACGCAAAATTCCCAAACAAAATGCTTCTTCCTACTCTCAATGTGCTCTAATCTACACTTGTTCTCCTTGGTGGAGAATTTTTTACGCAACGGAAAATGGTGTCAGATTATTTGAAAATAAATTTAATTTGGAAATTACATGTGAAAAAGTATTTATTATTTAACTGTTTCAAATAATAAACTCAAATTTCCTTCAACTACTTTCGTTCCTATCGAGAGGGGGCTTTTTTCTTGGTTCTCATTAAAAGAAAAAAATCATATTTTTCCTCATACAATCAATTACATATTTATTATATTATTGATCTTTCTCTTTTATTTTCGCTAAACAACTCAATTATTCGAAAAGAATTTTATAACACTCTTAAATTGATTCAGTTAAAGATCGACGATAAATTAAATTATTAAGCCGAGAAGTAAAAATATAGAATATAATTAAATTTCAAGATAAGTTATTTTTTGTTTTGAAAATTAATTAAGTTCAAAACGAATACAATATTCATGTAGATAACTTCATTTTATAAACTATCATATTTAAAAAATTTAATCGTATTTGAATTAAAGTATGTTTAGATAAGTTTTTTTTATATAAATATTTTTAAGAAGACTTGACAATGAATTAAAAATGTTTTAACATATATTTTAATTATATTCAAATTCTTATAATAAATATTCTGTATTAAGTTAAATACGCTAAATTGTTTATTTTATTATCATAGAAAAGTGATAGTATAATATTTTTATCTTTAAGGGATACAAGAGTAATTTATTTAATATTTTAACATATGAAAGGAAGATAATGTAATATTAACAAATCTTATGAGAGGGTAATGTAATTTACTCTAAAATATAGTATAAGTTACACTTTTATCTCAGACATATGAATATTGTATTACCATTCTAAAAATTATATTTTAGAGTATTTAATTTAACATTCTAAAAAATATTTATTACTAAGATTTTAAAATATATTTTTCATTAAAGTATATGTTAAAATATTTTTAGTTCACTATTATTTATAATTAAATGTAGAAGATTCTTAATATTTTTAAAATAATAATTAAATTTGTAAATCAAGAGATAAAATTGTTAAAGTTTAACGTTAACATTTGTATTTGTTAAGAGATGAAAATGTTTATTTTAACACAAGGGAGGGTGGTGTAATTTTAGCATTGTGTTTTATGTTTTTATGCTATATGATGTTTTAAAGTTGTTGTGGTGTGTTTTGTGTTGTTTATGAGAGCTATAAGGAGTAAGGAATCCTTGAGAAGTCCAGAGAGAAGTTAGGTAGATAGGTTGGAGTTAGAGAATTCTGATCTTCATTCTGATTCCACCAAAAGCTTACTTATCATTCCTTAGGGTTGAGTTAGTAGTAGAAACTAAGATTCAAGCTTGAGGAGCTCAAAATCTTAGAGAGAAGTTAACTCTTGGGGGTCTAGTGATTCTTTGAATACAAGTCTCTCTTTTTTTTTTCTTCGGATATAATGTAAGTATAAACGACACTTTTTTTTTTGTTCGTCCCTGGAGTATCTACCGTCGATAACAGTGACTAATATATACTTTTATAGCCTTTTTAGGAACTTCTTCTCAGCTACATAATTTCCAATTTTATATTGGTTGGGCGTGACTTGGGGATATTATTAAGTACCAATTTTTATTTTAAAGGGCCATTTCTGATAATGATTGGAAGAAAATGTGGGTTTATCATGATATCTCTAAGTATTGGCTCTATTCTATGGATCACAACTATTTTTATAAGATTATTGTGTATTAAAGCTTTTTTCAATATGATCATGTTGTCATTTCAACTACTTTTGCCCATGTAGCATTCGATCTATTGCCAAAAACTTGATGAATCAAATTTATGTTATTTTTTTAGGTTTGAATATATTTTTTCTTTTAAATTTAAAATAATTTTATTTTTAATCTTAAATTATTAATTTTAATTTCTGTAATTTTTATAAATTTTATTTTACTCCTTCAAATCACAATAATATATCAATAAATTGAGACAATCATACATTATTAATTATGTTTAATGTAATATTTTTATTAATATAAATATTAATAAATAAAATATTTATGGTTAAATATTTGATAGATTCTCTAACAAATTTTGAATATAAATATTAAAATAATTTATTTTATAAAATTATATAGACTAAAATAATTTTTTTAATTTAAAAGATTAAAAATAAATTTATATTAAATTTAGAGATTAAAAATATTTAATTTTATTGTTTATTCATTTGTTGTGTGCTGACGTGACTGATTCTTTAGTGAAAAGTGATACAGTAATTAAAAAATAATTCTTTACTCAATAACAGAATGGATTACAAATTAACAACTGTTAATCTATTATACGGAAACAGGCAGATTAGGAAAACTAAAATTTCAAATTTTGGGCTGCTAGTCTGCTACATGTATATTTATATATTTACGCATACACACAACGAATTAACATTGCACGTTATTTGTTTGAGGGAAAAATAGGATTTAAGTATATAAAAGGGATTAGGGAGAGATATAATTTATAAACTATTACTGTTTATATGAATTATGAAAGATAAGAATGAAAGAAGGGATTTCTACTTCGCTTGCTACAGTAGAGAGGTTTAGGAGGGTAGATAAGTGAGTTGTAATTTTTTTTATTTTTTTTTATTTTTATTTAAACTATTTGAAATTATTAAAAAATTTGTAATTCAATGTCTTTTTCATAATCATTGCTAACTGGTACACTTTCTATCGGAATTTTTTGGCACAGTGTGGAAGGTGGAGCTCAGTTGTAACGTTGTGAATTTTAGGATTGTTAAGTTAATTGTATTAGTTAAATGATTATGTGAATTGTTGTTTAGTTGTATTAAAACTCTAAAAAATTTTTACTTCTTATGAATTTAGTTATTTAAGAGTTAAGGTCAAAGTTTAGGAAAAAGCATATAAAATTTCTTAAAATTTGAATTTCATAAGTTTATATTCTAAGAAAAGTTAGAGAGAAGCAAGATAAAGGAGTTCTGAAGTCAAAGGAAACCTTTCTCCCTTTCTGACTTAGTGGATGAGCTCTGATTCTTCCCGAAAAAAACTATTAGTTGGAGTTGAACTGGGATTTGAAGTCTCGAAGCTAAAAGTCGTAGAATTGAGTTGTCGTGTGACGAAAGCTGAGGGTTTGAGTTCTCCGTGCGTTCTTCCTTTTCTTTTTCTTCTTTGAAAGATTTGAAGTAAGGGAAGTTTGTTGATTAATGTTTGTTGGATTTTTGCATTAATTTATGCTTGAATTCATCTCTTGGTGGCTATTTAAATGAATTTAAGAATGAGGGATACTTGTATTATGTTTTGGTTCATTTTGAACGTGGTTGAAAGGGGATTGGTGATCCTTGTCTTTTGATGGTTGCATGTGTTGTATTTTGCTAAAATTAAGTTGCTTAGGGTGTGTAAATGTTGAATTGTTGAATGCATGTTGGATTGAGTAGGTTTTTCGCAGATCTTAAGCCAAATTGTGATTTTTTTAAGTGCATAAATAACCATGGTGTCAAGCATAGCTTCATGGTGCTTAGCATGAGGCAGGTCAAGGGCTCTCTATCTCATTGATGTCGAGCGCAAGATTGGTAGCACTAGGTATGAGTTAATTAAGAACTCATTGACTTGGTTATATTGGGCATGGAATGAGAGTTGCTGAGTGTGATTGCTCAAGGAGCTCTCTAACTTGGTGACACCAAACACAAAATAAGAGACACAAGGCGTGATCAAGTAAATGGCTCTCTGCCAAGACGACACCAAGCGTAGGTTTTATGACGCTAAGCATGAGTTAGGAAGATGCTCTTTGCCTGAATAATGTTGGATGTCAGTTTTGTAACATTGAGTGTGGTGTACATAAGGACTCTCTGTCTCATTCTCACCGAGTGTAGGTGGTTTGGCATCAGGCGTGAGTGAGCTAGAAGCTTTCTGTCTCACTGGCATTAAGTGTCAGGTAAATAGTGCTATACATGGTTATGTTGAAGAAAAACTTATGATTTTAGTTGATTAAGTGATGAAAATATGTTGATTAAGATAGTTGTTTACATGATGCACAATGATGAGTTAATCTAGTTCATTATGTATTGATCTTTATGATATATGATGTTGTTTTTAAGTTGATAAAGTTGATAGTTATTATATTATTATGTTGATTAAGTTGAAGTTGTATGAAGTAGAGTTGTATGATGATAAGTGGTATATTGTTGAATGAAGTTGTGTTGTGAATGCTTGATGCATGTAGTTGTGTTGTTGACTTACAACTTGAGGAGATGTGTTTTTTTAAAAAGATGAAATATCCTATTGTGTAGATGTGTTGTGGTACTCTAAGAACTTAGTTGTTAAAAAAAACCCTTCGGTATAGTTATTTCTTAAAGTGAAGTGTTGAGTCTCCTCTAAATCTTTAGTTGATATTATATGGAGGTTAGGTTGAATCATACTAGGTTAGAAGCAGACAATCGAATAAGGTACAAGATTAAGGGCCAAAATTCCTAACTAAGTATTGGAAAGGTGCATAATATGTGGAGGGTAATTAATAGGCTAATTCCATATAGGCTTAGTTATGCATGCTAAGGTTGTGGTAAACTCACATCTAAGCTAATTTACTTCTGATAAGGATACTAAACTTTCCTAGTCTAAGTATCAAAATCCGAGAAATCGTGTTGTGTTGTGGATTAATATCCAAATCTACTGTTGATCTAACAAGTCCAAAAATACCACATTGTTAAGTTGATTCAATAGAGTTAAGTCATTTAGACTGTTCACCTTGTTGTAAGAGACCCCTTAGTTGAAAACGTGACAATACATTATGTTGTTGTGTTGC